GCAGGCGGCACGGGGCCTGGGTCAGGGGCGGCACCGGGCGAGCAGGCAGCCTGGGGCCAGGTCAGGGGCGGCACCGGGCGAGCAGGCGGCCTGGGGCCCAGGCTGGGGCAGCACGGGGTGAGTGGGCGGCCTGGGGCCCGGGCTGGGGTGACTGGGCAGCATGGGGCCAGGTCAGGAGTGGCAGGGGCAAGCAGGTGGCATGGGGTGAGGGGGCGGCCTGGAGCCCGGGCTGGGGCGAGCAGATGGCATGGGGCGAGCAGATGGCATGGGGCGAGGGGGCGGCCTGGGGCCGGGTCAGGGGTGACTGGGCGGCCTGGGGCCCGTGCAGATTGACTGGGCTAGCTCAGCTCGAGCAGCATGGACCTTGCAGCCTTGGCGGTAGCCCAGACTGGCCACCCAAGTTCGTATCCCGCGGGTCGGGAGGGCTCGGACTCGGTCGCTAGCCCGTGCCACCACCAGGCCGGTGACATCCACACTGCGAGCGCGCATCTGTCTGACCACGCTGGGAATCGCCCCTCCCAGCTGCAGTGTAGCCGGACCCCCTGGGACCCCACTGCTTGGCTCCTTTTACCCTGCTTGCCGCCTGTGATACATTCATCCCTCCGGGTCTCCCTCTCTCTCCCCCTCTCTGTCTCTCTCCCCCTCTTTCTCTGTTCTTATAGACAGACTTTGAAAAGGATGTTGACCTGGCGTGTCAGACAGGTGAGGCCTGGTCCTGGTCCCGCTCCCGCGGGGTGGTTTGGGAGGGAGGGTCAGGAGGGCAGTGCTGTGTCCCCTCCCGCACCCCCCCCCAAGCCTGGAATCGCCACAGATCCAAGCCATCCCTTTAAAAGAGGGTGTGGGGGGGCTTAGCATCAAGTGGGAGGAGCTAAGTGGGGCAGCGCCAGCTGGGCGCTGTGGGGATGGGTACCCCCCCGTATGGGGCTAACAGCCTGGTATTAATGCCACTTAGGGCAGGGCCAGTCCCCTTCCCAGCCTGATCCCATCCCGGTGTCCCTGGAGGTTGGGAGACACCCTCACATTGACTGTCCACGTCTGACCCATGTCTCTTCTTCTCCCCGCCCCGGCCAGTCCTCTTCAAGGATGTGAACGCGTGCAACCCCGCCACCATCACGGGCACCTTGTCGCGCATCTCCCTGGACGGCGACGAGGATCCCAAGCTCCACCCCGGCTCCGAGGGAAGCCTGGGCTTCTCCAGCCTCCCGGGGAACATCCCGCCCGCCGGCATCCTGGTGCAGGTGCCCACGCTGACGCACAAGGGCCTGAACGAACTCAGCGACCCACCCGCCAAGAAGGACGTCAACCTGGACAGCCGGGGGCCCGTCTACCTGTGCACGGACAGCAACCTGCGGCAGGCCGACTACGGCTGGATGCGGGCGGCGGAGCCGGCGCTGGAGAGCGACTACATGGTGCTGCCCCGCCGGACTGTGAGCCTCAAGCCCTTCGGCAGGGAGGAGGGCAGGCTCAACATCAAGGTGGATGAGGTGCCACACGTGGGCAAGGGGCGCCGTGGGGCCGAGGCGGAGGCCTACCCTGGCTTCGTCTCGGTGGACCACATCAATGTGAACTTGAACCAGCCCTACGGGACGGTGAAGCACCCGTACGGCCTTCAGTTCAAGCAGCACCCCACGGTCCGGCAGATCCTGGCCTCGGAGCTCACGGAGCGTAGCCGCACCATGCCGCGCACGGTGCCGGGCTCCGCCCTGAAAGTGGGGTCGCTCGAGGTGAGCCCAGAGCCCGCTGCCCCGGGTGGCTGAGGGACTGCGCGAAAGTGTGCACATGTGTAGCGGGGTGTGTGCGTGCAAGGGGCTGCACAAGCGTGTGTGGTTGAGAAAGTGTGTGCGTGCGAGAACGTGTGTATGTGCAAGAGAAGGTGTGGGTGTGCAAGAGTGCACAAGCGGTAACTGCATGTGCAAGACCGCAACGAGTATGTGAGAGAAACAGTGAACGTTGGTGAGCACGTGTGACTGACCGCATGCATGAGCGTGTGAGAGGCCACGTGCAAAGGTGTGTGTGAGAGCGAGTGTGTGCACAGCAGGGCGTGCGAAGCTGCGTCTTGGGGGCTGATAGTGCTCTTGGGCGCAGGGGGCTCTTGTTCCTTCTCTCACTGGGATTCGTTTGTACCCAGGACTGTCCCGCCCAGCGCACATCCGTGCGGTGACCCGGCTTTGGGCACTTCCTTGTCAGCTCGGGGGGTGTCACCCCTGGGGAGGAGCCCGGATGCAGCGCTTGTCCCTTGCTGCATTTACTTTAGCTCACTACTTTTCCCCAGTGTACATCTGAACAGGAGAAGGAGCCAGTGCGTTCCCCTGGCTAAGCCCCAGCCCCATTGCTGGTGTCCCCCCTCAAACAAAGGCCCTGCTCTGGGAATAGTGTGTGTTAACTAACTGCTGGCTGCAAAGCACCAGGGGGCGCTTGCACATCCCTTTTCTGTGTGACACGTCAAAATGGTGGCTATTGTTTGCTGTTGGGAGTGGGGTCTGCGAGAGTCGGAGCTCCTGGCTTCTAGTCCTGGCTCTGCCACTCATTTTTCTGTGCTAGCCACTTCACTGCACTGTTTACCCAGCTGCAAAGTGGGGAGAATGCTCCTGGCCTGGCTGGGGAGGTTTAGTTCATACCTGGCTGGTGCTTTCACCTCCTCCGAGGAAAGGCGCCCGCACGGTGTGCGTACCGGGTTAGTATCGCTTTCAACTTCTTGGTGACAGAGTGAGACAGAAGCCAAAGAGCGGCAGAAGCCGTGCGGCTAGAGGACATTTCCCTGCTGGATTCTCTTTTAAAGCAGGTCCGATTTGGGGCTTGCCCAGGTCCCCAGCGTCCCTCCCAGCTAGTAACGAGGAATCACAAAGCCCCAAGGGCTGGAGTGATCCTCACCCCAGCACGGGGCAAGCGTCTGCTGCTCTGGCCCAGTGCTTCGGGCGCCAGGTTGGGTCGTCCCGGCTCTGCTGCAGACTGGGGGTGTGACCTGGGGCCAGTCACTCAATCCCCAGCTCTAAAATGAGGCAGTAGCCGTTACCCACATACCCACATCAGAGTGGGGTCAGGACGCTAACTGCACTAAAAGATGGTTAGGCGCTATAGTAACGGTTGCCATAGCGGTGGTACCCACCCCCTAACACTTTGGGCAGCCCAGGCATCAGCTAGCCTGTCAGGGGTCTGTGGCTAATTAACATATGCAGATGAGGGCAGGGAGCACACCTAGACAGCACTGTGCGGAGGGGCCATCCCGCAGACGAGCACAGCTATGGGAAATCCAGCCAAAAGGGGGAGCTTGGCTGCCCTCCGCTCCTGGACCGAGTTTTTGCAGGCTGGGGTATCTCCTGCTGAAGTCAGGTCTAAGTCGGCGTCCTTCTCCCAGCCCCTCGCCCCAGCGCCGCGGCGTGTGCTCTTCCCCCTCTTCGCCGGATAAACCAATAAAGATCTTTCTTTTTTCCCCCTCCCCCTGTTCGGTTTGCTTTGGCCGGCGCGTATATTTCACCCCCAGAGGAAGCGGTTACGATACTCAGATCTGGATTTCGAGGTAAGCGCCGCTGAGACCCGCCCCACTTCTGCGGTTGGTGCGGTGGTTTCCGGTGCCCTGGCACCGGCGCGGTGACTGAGCTCCCTTCTGGGCTTCGGGGGACTCGCGGTACGGTGAGCGCCGTCCTGCCCGAAGCAGAGAGGGATCGAGGGTGGCTGGCGCTTGGTCTCTGCGGAGAGATGGGGGCTGGGGAGGAGCCCTGCAAGGAGCTTGTCCGGGTTTGGGGAATAAAATCTCTATTTCTTTCTCTCCTGCAACCGCATCCCTGGCCCGATTTCAGCCGAGCTGAGCTCCGAGGAGTTTTATACCAGGCAATAAAGAGCGCTCACGGTTGATTAAAACGCCGGAGGGCTGCTGGGAATATTTTCGCCAGGTTCATGGCGGGAGCTGATGCTCCCAATCAGGCAGTGTCATTTCAGCTGGTGGGAAGGGGGAACCACCGAGTTATTTAAGCCCCTACATTTTGCCCTGCTGCACGTGTGTGACTGTTTCGATCCGCCGGGGCGGGTGACGGGGGGAGTCCTGAAGGGGGGCTGGAGTCCCTCCCACCACTCTGTTGCCAAGAAATGTCAGACACAAACCAATGATAGCTACTGTTTCTTGTGGGTCCTACAGAAATCCAGTGTGTGAGCTCCCCCTGCTGTAGCGAGTAAAGTAACCACCATTATTCCCATAGCCCAGGAGCAGGCCGTGAGGGGCGGGGGATGATGCTGTGTGTCCGTGAAGCGGCACTGACTAGACGTATGTACGTTTCCCCTCCCCCCAATCCCTTTGCAGAAAGTCATGCACACGAGGAAGCGCCACTCCGAACTCTACCATGAGCTGAACCAGAAATTCCACACAATGGATCGGTACCGGGCACCTGCTACCAATGCTGCCAAGGTAAGGCTGTCGGTGTCGGGCAGGGCTGATCTGTTCCTACGTCCCCGCACAGCAGCGGGCGGGATGGGCACAGGGCTGCGTTACCGACCGAGGCAGCTGCCGCTCGCTGTCCTTTGCGGAAGCCCTTGCCTGTCGCTCCCCGGCTGGTGTCTGCTGTCTCGCACGGACGGCACCGTGATCATCCGTACCTCGATGGCGCACAGTTAGCCGTGCTGCACAGCGCCTCCTGCTGGGAGAAGTTGGGGCTGGACTGCCTTGGTGCTCTCACGGACCTAGTGTGTTTAAAACACCCTCACCACATTTATTGTGGAGGCTAGGACATCTGCGAGAGTGCCCTGCATCCAGTGCACGTACAGCAGCGCCTCCTGCTGGCCGGAGTTGCTTCTCCGCAGCCAGCACTGCTAGGCCGTTTCCTTCTGGGAAGGCTGGGACTGCAGAGGCTGGGGGGTCTCTCTGGGGTGCCTCACCCCGTTCCCTTCATCTCCCCCTGCTGGGAGGGACCCCTTCACGATGGGCTTAGGCAGATGGTTGAATCGAGAGGTCAGTATCGTTGTGCTTCGCAGCCCCTCCCCTCCCCCCAAGCCGGGGGGCTGCCTGGGGGCCTATAACACCTGTAAGGTGCCCGAATGGGTGATGACCAGTAGCCGGTGCCATAGGGCTGAGCCGTGGGGAGAGGGGGCCTGTGCCTTAGTGCCTGATGCCAGCTGCCTTTCCTGTCCTTCCCCCCCAGAGAGAGAAGCGGTGGAGCGTCTCTTCCGGTGGCGGGGAGAAGAGCACATCCAGCGTAAGTGCCTGGACACCCCCAGCCGTGGGTCCGGGAGCACCAGCCCATGGGGAGGGGGGTTCCCTGGGGCGGGTGAGCTAGTGCGGAGCTGCTGCCCCTCGGGAGCCCTGTGCCCTGGAAGGTCCCCCCGTGGAGTCGTCACGTCCGCTCGCAGGGATCCTGGCATGTCGGCGTCTTCACCTCATCCTCATCCTCGCTCGGTCCGTTGCAGGATGAAGGCCTCCTGCGGTGCTGCCCCTGTGACCCTGTAGTTCATGCAAAGCCTCCCAGCTTGTCTGTCCATCCTCCTCGCCCCCCCATCCCGTCTCCACCCCTTCCTAAGTGTCGTGTCCTCCCCTCCCCCTGCATGCTGTCCCTGCAGCCTCCTGGCTCTTGTCCCTCCCTCCCCAGGCTCCATCTTCATCTCATGCTAATGCGCCTCGGGCTCAGATACATGTTGTCTCACGCTTCGCTCCCAGCCCCCCGCTCCCCCTCGGGCATGCGCCTCATCCATCCTGCCCGCCCGCCTTCAGGCACACGCCCCATCCATCCTGCCCGCCCCCCCCCCCTCGGGCACGCGCCCCGTCCATCCTGCCCGCCCGCCCTCAGGCATGTGCCCTGTCTATCCTGCCCGCTCGCCCTCAGGCACGCACCCCATCCTGCCCACCTGCCCTCGGGCACATCCTGCCCACCCACGCTCAGGCTTGTGCCCAATCCATCATGCCTGCCCGCTTGCCCTCATGTTCCCAATCCTGCCCAGCTGCCGTTGGGCATGCACCCCATCCTGCCCAGCCACCCTCGGTTACGCTCCCTGTTCTGCCCACCCGCCCTCTGGCTGCGCGCCCCAGCCTCCTGCCCATCCTCTGGCTGTTCTGTGTGTCCAGCCCGCCTGCCCGCCCTCTGGCTACGTCCAGGTCTTTCACCCACCCGCCCTCTGGCCGTGCACCCCGGCTGCCCGCCTGCCCGCCCTCTGGCTACGTCCAGGCCTTCCACCCACCCGCCCTCTGGCTGTGCACCCTGGCTGCCTGCCCTTCTCTCCAGGTGGCTTCCAAAGCATCTGCTCTCTGGCCCTGAGCCTGCTAGCTGGTCCCTGCGCAGGGAACAGGAACGCAGAGGAGAGCAGGGGACTTTCCAGCCTGCTCTTGCCCGGCCCTGGGTCCCCGCTGCCCTGCCCCTCACGTGTCCCCTCGAAGCTGCGCAAAATGGGTGCAAAACATCCTGCTGGCAGCGTTTCGCTCCCTCTCTGCCCAGGGCCGTGCTGCCTTTCGGCGCTCCCTCTGGCCGTGGTGCGGTGCACTCTTACAGCAACCCTGCACAGGGGCCTGGGCTAGTGCAGAGCCCTTACGCCAGCCGTGCCCTGCCCCGGGGGGCTCTCTGGGCTCCTCCCCAGTCTAAGACCCCTTTACACTGCCAGGCTGGCATGGGGGGCCTGCCCCCCAGTTCTCTGTTGCAGGTGCTGTCAGGCTGAGTAGCCAAACTATTATTAATAATGACTGTCTCACAGTATGCCCCAGAGACCCAGCTGCCCAGCCCCAGGGAGACAGACAGCCCCAGTCCCCCAGCGATCACAGCCTGCGGAGAGCAGGCCAAGGGTGGGAGAAGGGAGCTCTCTTTCTCCCCAGGCCCAGGGGGGGAGCTGAGCCCCAGCGGGACCGGTGCTTTGGCGCCGTCACATCCCCGACGCTTCTCTTTCCTCCGCCCCGCGCAGGAAGTGACCAGTCCGGAGGAGCAGCAGCAGAAGAGCTGGAGCACCTTCAAGGCCATGACGCTCAGCTCCCTGCCCCCCAAGCAGCGGGAGAAGCTGGAGCTGCACTGCGCCACCTGGGAGCCCCCGTGCATGAACCTGGACGTGTCAGAAGGGGATTTCCAGACGGAGGTGTGAGCCGGGGGGAGCCGGGCCCGGCCCGGGCAGCCCCACGCTGCAGAAGGGAAAAGCAAACAAAAGGACAATCGGATTTTGTTTCCCTTTTGTGGGGGGTTTGTTTTCCTCGTTTGGCCATTGGACTCTGCTCCCCGTGCCAGGGGGGCCGTGCCCTCCCCGGCGCACCATCCTCCTTTCGCCTTTTGTTGTGGGCTTTCTTTTCTTCTCTTCCCTTCCAACGTCGTCACCGCCGGGGGACACGCCCCCCTGGAGACACACCCACACGCCCACGGATGTAGGGTCACGCGCACGCCAACCGGCCTCCCGCCCGCTCCTGCCTGGGCAGTGCCGCCAGCCCCGCTCTCTGCGGGCGCTGGCAGGACCCGACTTGTGTGCGGGGGCCGGGGAGCCGGCTCGGAACTCTTTTGTACCTGGGCATCTCTTCACGCAGTGCACCGTGTGCACCTGGGAATGACGCCCACGCCCACCGACGCAGCCCCGCCCCCTGCCCGCCGCAGGGGGCGCCCGCCCCGCCGCTCGCTGCCCCCGGCACCGTTCTTCCTCGTCACACCTCCGCTCGGCCTGCTCCCCCCAGGCGGGAGGGGGCTCTCTCCATGCCCTAGACCCCAGAGCCCACCTTGGGAGGGGCCCCTCCCCTCCCCGCACCCCCCTTTCTATCTCATGGGGCAGGCGCTGTCTTTGTTGAAAATAAAAGTTCACTCTCTGTGGATCTCTGCTGCCGGGGGCGCTCGCCTCCTTTGCTCGGTGTGGGGCATGGTCTGCTGTGCTGGGGGGCGGGGGCAGGTGCCGGCACCGGGTCGTTGGGCACTGTGCGGGGTGGAGCGGGTACTGCTGCCGGGGCTGTTTTCCCTCCTGCAACACGCCAGCCTCATGCAGTGCAGAGCCCCGGTTCCCTGCTCAGAGAGCCCCTGCCCGCCAGCTCCTGCTGCATGAGTGGAGGGTGCCCTGCACGTGCTCCCGGCCTGCAATCCAGCTGCGGGCGCTTCATGGGGCGCGTGGCCCCTGCCACCTGCGTCCTTTGCTGCCTCAGGCTGCTCTGCATCCGCCCCGCCTCCTCCCCCTCCCCCCCCAAAGGCACAAGGGCTGGTGTGGGAAGAGGAGCTGCCCCCTGGTGCTCGCGTGAGAGGGCGGGGCTGCTTTCTACAGCCCTAGCCTGGCAGGAAACAGCCCATGCCACGTGTCCCCTTGCCTCCATTCCCAGCTGCCTCTGCGGGGGCCAGTTCCAGGCTGCCCAGTAGCAGGCGGGCCCAGGCACATCCAGCTCCACCCACAACTGGTGAGGGTGGGTGCAGGGATCGCGCTGGACACACCCCGCCTGCCTGCGGAGCCGGACGGCATCTTGCCAAAGGGGCGAGCGAGGGAACCCCCAGCTTCTTGGGGCGTGGCGCTGTGCTGGGTGGGAGACGGAGGCGATTGCGGCTGAGGCACGGGGGGTGGGGGCAGAGGGATGCTGTCAGCCCCCACCCAGTGGTGCTGCCACCCTGATAGTGCCCCACCTGAGCCCGATTGTGGGGACGGCACTAGTGAGCTGCTGGGCGTTCCACCAAGGCGCTCAGCGGGCGCTTTGCTTCCTGTGGAGACGTAGGCCATGCCCTTAGGATAGCCATGAGCGGGCGGGGCCTCCCGGGAAAGACGGCTCTTCCGGCAGGGTGGCACGTCCGATGCCATGCTGGGGCAGTGGGTCTGATACCAACTTGGGGGAAGGCGCCTCCTGCTGAATCATCAGTCACGCCTGCGCCACAATGCCAGCTAGCACTGCACTGGGGAATTGGGGTCAGCACTGACTGAGGGGAGAGCC